AACTTACACATTCATAGTATTTTAATGTTTAGATAGTTACGTTAATGGCGCTAGTACAGAATCTAACGTCACAACAGTAAAAGGTTTAGAATGTGTGTTTTCATATTGTTACGTCTCCGTTTGTTAATTAATTTTCCGTAAATTCGTTCCGACGAAACATTAGCGACACAAGTTCTTTCTTAAATAAAACTGGTTTATTCTTTCCGAATACAACTTTACGATACACTTAATTTCAACAGTCGCTCTAAAACAAACGCTATAACTCTCAAAGAACGTCTCACGTGCTCGTGCTCGACAATACTCAATTCAATTACACATTGTCTGACTGCAGTTCAATTACTCATTACCCCTCCCTCGCTTCGTGGCCGGTCTTATATATACAAGACTGCACTATATCTAGAAAGATCACGAGATTTAAGGAAAAGACGTGAAAGTTCGAGAATGACGTGGCGTGATACTAGTCACGTGACCTCGATGTCGTAACAATATCCAACTCATTTGAGTGAAAAATAAACAAACTTCAATCGTTCGTATTAATGTTACCAACTACAGAACAAAATCCAACTATAACAAAAATACATTTTAGTCCAAAAAAAGTTCTATTAAAATGGAATGGAACATCCAAATGTTTTGTCCGACTTGAAAACAATTGAAACACAACAACCACAATAATTGTGAAGCCTAATTTTACGTGAGCTGTTGCCACGATATGTTTCCATGTTACTCTAGGAAAAAAACAATTTTTTTATACATCAGTAACTAAAAAATTTCCAACATTTTATTACCAACGTCCACTTTTATATGGCCTACTCCATAACTGTAATTAATTTCTGATGTTTAGATGGAACGATCTAGTATTTTCTGCTTTATTTAGAAACCTTCACTGGGGGGCGTGGTTTGGAACCTCTAAGTCCTCAGCAAGAACGACAAAAGTAAAGAAAATCCGATCTACTGCGTCTCATTTCATTAATTTTCAGACGTTGGCAGAAGATAAAGAATGTGATCTAGAAGTGTAAGTAAGAAGCTAATACAGTTTTCTCTTTCCTGCATCACACTCCCTGCTTTTCACAAAAGGTCAAAAAGTTCGGATTATTAAACGGTGTAGTCAGGACGTGGAATGAATGGAATTTGAATTCAGCACGTGCGATTTCTTTGTACTTCCTACCACTGCTACAATAACGTTTTTTATCTGAAATAATAAATCGTATGAGAGTAAATCCAAACAGGTATAAAAATCTTAATTAGACTCACAATAAAGAATCTTATAAAATCAAAACGGACACTGTTCTGTGTTGTTCTTTTTAGAAGATTCACAAACTTATTGCGGAGATATTATTTTTAAGTTATTGAATCAAACGACTAAATCAGTTCTATATATTTAATCCCCCAGATATTAAAGTCAGTAATTTATCTCATTTAATCGAGTTCTCAAAAAGGAACTATGAAAGAAAACTAAGAAATGTGACTGGCTAGAACTACAACAATAGTGTACTACTGAGGAATGTGACCAGCTAGAACTACAACAATAGTGTACTACTGAGGAATGTGACCAGCTAGAACTACAACAATAGTGTACTACTGAGGAATGTGACCAGCTAGAACTACAACAGTAATGAACTACTGAGGAATGTGACTGGCTAGAACTACAAAAGTAATGAACCACTGGGGAATGTGACTGGTTAGAACTACAACAATAATGTACTACTGAGGAACGTGACTGGTTAGAACTACAAGAATAATGTACTACTGAGGAACGTGACTAGCTAGAACTACAATAGTAATGTACTACTAAGGAACGTGATTGGCTAGAACTACAACAGTAATGTACTACTGAGGAACGTGACTGACTAGAACTACAATAGTAATGTACTATTGAGGAACGTGATTGGCTAGAACTACAACAGTAATGTACTACTGAGGAACGTGACTGACTAGAACTACAATAGTAATGTACTACTGAGGAACGTGACTGGCTAGAACTAAAATAGTAATGTACTACTGAGGAACGTGACTGGCTAGAACTACAATAGTAATGTACTACTGAGGAACGTGACTGGCTAGAACTACAATAGTAATGTACTACTGAGGAACGTGACGGGCTAGAACTACAACAGTAATGTACTACTGAGGAACGTGACTGGTTAGAACTACAACAGTAATGTACTACTGAGGAATGTGACTGGTTAGAACTACAACAGTAGTTTCCAGAACAGTTGTTCATTGTTGTATAGTCTTCATTGTTTCATAACCTAACATAAGGTATTTTCCAGATCAATTGTTCATTGTTGTATATCCTTCATTGTTTCATAACCTAACGTACGGTATTTTCCAGATCAGTTGTTCATTGTTGTATAGCCTTCATTGTTTCATAACCTAACGTAAAGTATTTTCCAGATCAGTTGTTCATTGTTGTATAGCCTTCATTGTTTCATAACCTAACGTAAAGTATTTTCCAGATCAGTTGTTCATTGTTGTATAGCTTTCATTGTTTTATAGCCTAACGTAAGGTATTTTTCAGAGCCGTTGTTCATTGTTGTATAGCCTTCATTTCATAACCTAACGTAAGGTATTTTCCAGAGCCGTTGTTCATTGTTGTATAGCCTTCATTGTTTCATAACCTAACGTAAAGTATTTTTCCAGAGCCGTTGTTCATTGTTGTATAGCCTTCATTGTTTCATAACCTAACGTAAAGTATTTTTCCAGAGCCGTTGTTCATTGTTGTATAGCCTTCATTGTTTCGTAACCTAACGTAAAGTATTTTTCCAGATCAGTTGTTCATTGTTGTATATCCTTCATTGTTTCATAACCTAACGTAAAGTATTTTCCAGAAACTTTCTATAAATGAAATAAGTGTTATGCTTGTGTCTGTTGTTGTAATTATATTGTCTTACACCAACTACTTATATTACATGAACTTTGACATTTGCAACTAATCAGACAAAACAACAGCCTGGCTGTGAACTTCTCATACATCTATGACCTTAGAATTTAAGAAGTCTCTATGTCACTTCTGACACACCTACAACCTTAAAATGCAACAAGTCTATGTCACTTCTGACACATTTATAACCTAGGAATTAAACAAGACTTTATGTCACTTCTCACCTATCTATATTATTAGACTTCAACAAGTATTTAAATTATTTACACTATCAGAAGATTGATTTTTGTTTAATAAAGTTCTATTTCAAGTTAATTACACGAATCTTTATATATCTGTTCCTATACTCCAGATAACCCATCGTTTGACTAGCCAGTTCCTCGTTATCCTTTTGTCCCTTGTTTGTCAGATATTTAGTATATATTAAACAAACGTTTTTCTTTTGGAACCCCCTAGAGTACCATTTATACCCGACAGTGCACTTAGCTCTGTCATCGCACGTGCCTTTTGACCATCCCACGTAATGAATCATCGCCTCCTGTTTCCTGGAAGAGAAAATACGTGTCAAAAGTTCTGATAATGGCAGCTAATTAAACGTTAATTAACAGATCTTGCTAGTGCGATAAAAAACTAGTAATTTATTGATAATAGCTCTAAACAGCTTCTACTTTGTTTCATCTTTCCATGCTTTTCAACCGAAACAGAAACACAAAAATGTTGATGTCTCTTGAAGTACAAATCTCCACTAACAACATTCTGTTAACTGTGTTTTCGCTGGATGAATCTTTATGTTAATTTATAGTAAATAATAAAAAAATATTCTTAGGCAACCTTGAAAACTTCTAGAGTGGACCCCTGGTAGATAACAGATGAAACTAGGCTATTTTCTTGTAGAAACTTTACACTAGTTCATTTAATTCCACAACACAGAACACCACTGCCTGAATATCAGCCTTTGTCGGTTGCCCATTAGGAAAAGGAGGATTATAGCCATGAAATCGTTATCATTGGTCGATTCTTCTTGAGTTGTGGAAGGATTACTGTAGACGAGCGGTTTCGGTAATCAGGTTTCCTTGAGAACGTGTGGACCTCAGGCAATATTGGATCACCTTAACATTGATAATCATAAAATAATTATTAATCAACTTTTGGCAATAGAACAAGTCAAATCATGTTGGATGACCTCTTTATTACTGGCGGAGTGCACAGCGACAACTGACCATCAGAATCATGAGTTCATTTCTTACCATTTCTCTGACACTAGAACAAGTCTAGACATGCTACCTGAACTCATTACAATTGGTAGAGTGCCCACTCGCGACTGATAACTGCCTACCTTAACTAATTTTCAGATATCTAAATTTTATGGATTTTAAAACAACGAATGGGGGAAGACCCCTCCATTACTGCCATTATCGTACTCCAGCTTTGTTTTTTTAACTTTAGATCAAAAGCGGGAGTAGAAAGTAACAAGGTACAGAGGGAAAAACCAACTAGCAGGGTTTAACCTCGCGCCAGGAATCTTGTGTTTAGTCTTTCACCTTTGACAGGCACATTTAGACCCTCACATGGCCGTAGTTAACTATCACGTCACCGAGGTCAAGACCTCTGTTAAAATTTGACATTAAATGTAACGTACTATCTAATTTTACACCCATATAGAAAAGGTGTACAATATGTAAATCTCTATCTACGGCCATAACCTCACACACACAATACGTAAGTCTGTTAGTACTTGGACCTCTATCTACGGTTATGACCTGACACACACACACAATATGTAAGTCTGTTGGTACTTGTATCTCTATCTACGGCCATGACCTCACACACACACAATATGTAAGTCTGTTGGTACTTAGACCTCTATCTACGGCCATGACCTCACACACACACACAATATGTAAGTCTATTGGTACTTGGACCTCTATCTACGGCCATGACCTCACACACACACACAATACGTAAGTCTGTTGGTACTTGGACCTCTATCTACAACCATGACCTCACACACACAATATGTAAGTCTGTTGGTATTTGGACCTCTATCTACGGCCATGACCTCACACACACAATATGTAAGTCTGTTGGTACTTGGACCTCTATCTACGGCCATGACCTCACACACACAATATGTAAGTCTGTTGGTACTTGGACCTCTATCTACGGCCATGACCTCACACACACACACAATACGTAAGTCTGTTGGTACTTGGACCTCTATCTACTACTGGCAGCTCATAAAAAGTGTGTGTGAGGTCATGGTTGTAGATAGAGGTCCAAATACCAACAGACTTACATATTGTGTGTGTGAGGTCATGGCCTTTCTTGGTGTTCGAAGACGTTTTGTGTTAGGGAAAACCACTTTCTTGGTGTTTGAATACGTTTTGTGTTAGGGAAAATCACATTCTTGTTGTTCGAAGACGTTTTGTGTTAGGGAAACCACTTTCTTGGTGTTCGAATACGTTTTGTGTTCAAAAACAATGTATTAAGATTTTACTAAGAAATTCAAACATGACTTCCACAAATCATTTAGACGGACTTGACGAGAATAGGTGAATGAAGATAGACGGACTTGACGAGAATAGGTGAATGAAGATAGACGGACTTGACGAGAATAGGTGAATGAAGATAGACGGACTGGACGAGAATAGGTGAATGAAGATAGACGGACTGGACGAGAATAGGTGAATGAAGATAGACAGACTGGACGAGAATAGGTGAATGAAGATAAATATGATGAGACGTAATTTGCTGAAGCAGCTGTGAAAAAAAAGAAAATATTTTGTGGGGTGAAAATTCGATTAATGGTGATGAACTCATTAAGTAATAAATACAATAAAATACAAATGGCCATTAGTGACTCTTATAAATAGTAGAAGAAATGGTTAGGGAAAACCACCCACTTTCTTGGTGTTTGAATACGTTTTGTCTTTGTGTTAGGGAAAACTCCGTCTTCAAACACCAAGAAAGTGGTTTTCCCTAACACAAAACGTATTCAAACACCAAGAAAGTGGTTTTCCTTAACACAAAACGTATTCGAACACCAAGAATGTGGTTTTCTCTAACACAAAACGTCTTCGAACACCAAGAATGTGGTTTTCCCTTAACACAAAACGTCTTCGAACACCAAGAAAGTGGTTTTCCCTAACGCAAAACGTATTCGAACACCAAGAATGTGGTTTTCCCTAACACAAAACGTATTCAAACACCAAGAAAGTGGTTTTCCCTAACACATCAACTCTTCCTTATTTTTCCTGCCTCCTGTTCTAACATCATAAATAGATAACAAAACAGTGGTTGCCTTTGTAAGATCACCCTTTTTTCTTCTCTACATAATTGAGCATTACATTTTATATTTTGGAATCTTTTTGAGAGAACCTGGCATAACCAGCCGTGGGAATGGGCGTTATAATTTGATGGTCAATCCCACTAACTATTTTTTGGTAAAGAGTAGCCCAAGAGGGGTGGTGGTTGGTAGTTGCCTTCCCTCTAGTCTATCACTTCAAAATTAGGGGCAGATAACCCTCCAGTAGATATGCGCGAAATTCAACAAAGAAACAAAAGAATCAAACTTTATGAGAGCTATTATTTTCTTTGGAAGTATCAACTTTACCAAATATGTCTGGTTTATTGCAACTGTTTACACTTTAAGTGTTATCCTTAATAGCTGTTTTTTTTTATACCAAGTATAACTGTCTCGTGCGTCCACCACTCAAAATAGTTGATAAGCCCTCCGCAACTTAGTACGATAATAATATGTTCGGTTGATAAAACCAGTGTTCAAGGACTGAACTGAGAGGTTTATACGCATGACATGGGATAATAGGAACACTTACTCATTTCTTGTCGTCATCATATTCAGGAGGTGCTCTCGACTACTGGTTGCTGAAGAAGATATATTTGGAGATGTTAGTGAAGAAGTTATCCTTGTCAAGGTCGATGAAGGAGTTATCTTTGTCAAGGTTAGTGAAGAAGTTATCCTTGTCAAGGACGATGAAGAAGTCATCTTTGACAAGGTTAGTGAAGAAGTTATCCTTGTCAAGGACGATGAAGAAGTTATCTTTGACAAGGTTAGTGAAAAGATATCTTTGTCAAGGTCGATGAAGAAGTTATCTTTAACAAGGTTAGTGAAGAAGTTATCCTTGTTAAGATCGATGAAGAAGTTATCTTTGTTAAGGTTAGTGAAAAGATATCTTTGTCAAGGTCGATGAAGAAGTTATCTTTGTCAAGGTCGATGAAGAAGTTATCCTTGTCAAGGTCGATGAAGAAGTTATCTTTGTCAAGGTTAGTGAAAATATATCTTTGTCAAGGTCGATGAAGAAGTTATCTTTGTCAAGATCGATGAAGAAGTTATCTTTGTCAAGGTTAGTGAAAAGATATCTTTGGCAAGGTCGATGAAGAAGTTATCCTTGTCAAGGTCGATGAAGAAGTTATCTTTGTCAATGTTAGTGAAAAGATATCTTTGTCAAGGTCGATGAAGAAGTTATCTTTGTCAAGGTTAGTGAAAAGAAATCTTTGGCTAGGTTAGTGAAGAAGTTATCTTTGACTAGGTTAGTGAACCTGAAGCGATGGGTTTTACAAAATCTGACATGACACTATTACAGAACCTGACGTGATAGTATTACAGAACCTGACTTGATAGTATTACAGAATTTGACATCACAGTAATATACATTCAGACATGATAGTATTACAGAACCTGACGTGATAGTATTACATAATCTGGCGTGATAGTATTACAGAATGTCACATGATAGTATTACAGAACCTAACGTGATAGTATTACATAATTTGGCGTGATAGTATTACATAATTTGACATCACAGTAATATACATTCAGACATGATACTATTACAGAACCTGACGTGATAGTATTACAGAATGTCACATGATAGTATTACAGAACCTGACGTGACAGTATTACATAATCTGGCGTTATAGTATTACAGAACCTGACGTGATAATATTACAGAATGTCACATGATAGTATTATAAAATCTGGAATGATCATAGGAACCCTGACAAGGTAGTTTATTGTCATAAGAGTATTATAGAACCTGGAATGATCGTAGAAACCCTGATAAGGTAGATTATTGTCATAAGAGTGTTATAGAACCTGGAGTGATCGTAGAAACCCTGACAAAGTAGTTTATTGTCATAAGAGTATTATAGAACCTGGAGTGATCGTAGAAACCGTGACAAGGTAGTTTATTGTCATAAGAGTATT